CTCTGCTCCAGGTCCTTGCCCCTGGCAAGGCGCCCGTCTTCCTGCTTCATTCCTTGGTCCTGCAAGACTGACCTCCAGTCCTGGTGTCGTCAGAGCCACTTCCAGCCTGGCTTTGCCGTCCCCCTCCTCATGCTGAGGGGGGAGGCCCCCGTCCCCACAGAGGTCACCCTGATGAGGCCTGTCCCATATCTGCCTGCCTCTCGCAGGAGATGGTGCTCGCTACCACTCAGGCTGCTCTGACGGGAGGAGTCCCCGCTGTGGAGCTCCCAGCTTCTCTCCCTCCGCTGCTCCCAGCTCTCTCCTGGGCCCACCAAGGTGCTCCGTTCCCCTGCCTGGTCCAGCCAGCCGGGGAGGGGCCCAGGAGACCGTGGCTCGGCCAGTGAGCCGAGGTCTGACCCTCGTCTATCACTCATGGAAGGGGGTGGGGAGAAGACAAGTGTTGCCCCAGAAAGCTCACACCCCTGGCCTGGCCCGCGTGGCTCAGGGGCTGAGCATCCACCTAGGAACCAGGAGGTCACACTGCCATTCCCGGGCAGGGCCCAGGCCCAGGCTGTGGGCTCCATCCCCAGTGTGGGCCGTGCAGGAGGCAGCCGATCCATGATTCTCTCTCATCACTGATGCTCCTCTCTCTCACCCTCTCCCTTCCTCTCTGAGGTCAGTGTCTGTTTGAAAAAGCTCACAGCCCTGGATTTGGGGTGAGCTCCCACTGACCTGGCCACGCCTTGACGAGAGAAGCAAAGGGGTGCTTTCAAAGAGGCAGCTGAAGTGCAAAGAGACTAGTTCATGTTACGCATCAAGCTACCAAGTGGGAGAACCAGGTGTGGACTCCAGGACCCGTGCCCTCAACCCGTTCAATTTGGCAGCCCCAGCCTCCAGCCTCTGCAGCACCAGAGGGGGTGGGGCCGGGCAAGGTCCTGACTCCGGCGGGAGCACCGAGGCAGAGGAAACATGGACAGCGAAGCGTGTGCGGACCTGTGGGGTCACTGAGGCCGGAGGCAGGGGTCCTATGGTCAGCTGGGGCTGGCTGGCTAGCAAGCAGGAGTGCTCCTGGCCGAGAACTAAGGTCTGGCTTTCAGCATCCTCAAGGTGTAGCCAGACTGATGAGGTGTTCCCTCTGGGACCCCCCAGAGACCCCCCTGCTGGGGGAAGAGTTCAAAAGAAATGGTCTGAGCGTCCTGGCTTGTCTGGGGTTTCAGGGTTGAGCATTTTGGGGTTTTTTGTTTGTTTGTTTGTTTGTTTGTTTTGTTTTTTAAATATATACTTTATTGATTTTTCACAGAGAGGAAGGGAGAGGGATAGAGAGTTAGAAACATCGATGAGAGAGAAACATCGATCAGCTGCCTCCTGCACACTCCCCACTGGGGATGTGCCCGGAACCAAGGTACATGCCCTTGACTGGAATCGAACCTGGGACCCATGAGTCCGCAGGCCGACGCTCTATCCACTGAGCCACACCGGTCAGGGCAGGGTTGAGCATTTTGGTGTCCTTGCTGCAGAGCGGGGAGAGTTCGCCAGAGGTACCTGCCAAGGAGTGGCAGGGGTGCGGGCCTGCACCTTGGTGGCCCTAGCCCCTCTCTGAGTTGCCTCATTTATAAGAGGGTAAACCGAGGCACCGGAAACTGAGGCATAAGAGGGTAAACCGAGGCACCGGAAACTGAGGCATAAGAGGGTAAACCGAGGCACCGGAAACTGAGGCATAAGAGGGTAAACAGAGGCACCGGTGAGGCATAAGAGGGTAAACCGAGGCACCGGAAACTGAGGCATAAGAGGGTAAACCGAGGCTCGGACCTGTGACAAAGTGCACACTGAAGGTGCCCAGCCACAGGGCAGAGGCCTCCACCTTGGTTTCTTAGGGGCCTGGCTCAGGCTGCGGGGTCGGGCCCCCTTCCCTGGGGTTTATTCCGTCCTGGCCTCTGTGGTCTGAGGCGCACACGTGGCAAAAATTAGCCATCCGTCCAAAGGCAGCGCTAGACGTCCTGGCGTTGAGGTCCGTGGCCCGGGGAGCGGCCGCGGGCTGCTTGGTACGGCCTGCGATGTGCCCCTTCATCCTTCTCCAGTTAGTCCCTGGCATCGCCTCTGCCCCTGGGAAGGAAAGTTGTCTTCACTGCTCAGCTGGTTGGGATGGGAGCTCCAGATGGGGCCAGTGCGGAGGGAGAGAAGGCAGGCTGAGGGCAGGACCCTCACAGGCCCCGGCCAGGACCCTCTCGGCTTAGAGCAGCGGTCGCCCACCGTGGTCCATGAGGTCTGAAAGGTTGGCGGCCGCTGGGTTAGGGCTCAGGGCAGATTAGAGCTGGGCTAGCACTTACTGAGCTGTGTCCCCTGAGCAGAGACCACAGGGCCCGGTGTGGAGGCCAGGACACGGGAGGGGGTGGGGAAAACAGATGGCTGAGTCCTCCTCACAGTCCCTGGGGCCCTGGACCTGGGTCGGGGAGCTCGGGGTGCCTTGATGAAGGGCACTAGGGCCAGAACCTGGGCCCGATAGGCCTGCCCTGACTCCAGCCCCACCTCATGCCCTGGACCCAGGCATAGCTCTCAGGCTCTGACCCAGAGCCCTGTGCCTCGCCCTTCGTGTTCCAGGCCCCACCGCTGGTGCTGGGCCCTGGGTGCCCGGTCCCCCCACCCCACCCCCACCCCACATCCCTGCGGTCTGCCGGGAGGAAGCTGCCCTCCTCCCCCACCGTGACTCTGCGCTTCCTGCCCCGGCTGGGGCGGGAGGGGACGTTTCCCGTTCACACCCAAGGTTCCCTGGCGGCACCTAGACTTGGGCTCAGCCGCTGCCCCTTGACCCATGGAGCCGGCTCTGGGGCCTGGGGTCCAGGTAACCAGCAGGGTGGGCGGAGGTTCCCAGGGCCAGGAAGGAAGTCCTGTCTGTATGGGACGTGCGTGTGCACGGGTCTGCCTGGCTGATAGTGCACATGCACCCTGGGATCTGCGGTCACGGAAGGCTTCCTGGAGGTGGTGGCTGCTGAGCTGGAAGAAGGTGGCAGGCGAGGGCTCAGCCCACGGCTTTGGGTCAGGCCTGGCTGGTGGGTGTGGGCCACAGCCATACCCCAGGCACGCACACACTTAAGCCCCTCCCCTGCCTCTGCCAGGCCTGCCTGGGTCCCCAAAGGCTAGGGAGGTGGGAACAAGAGACTGGAAAGCGGAGGGGCGGCCTGGGAGAGTTGTCAGTACGTACAGCCATCTTCTGATGCTGACCTTCCGACTTCCTGCCTCCCTCACGCCCAACCTGTCTCTGTCCCTCCCTTTCTCCACCCCCTCTGCTCTGCCTCTGCTCCCTCTACTCCGTGCCCACTTCCGTTCACTCTCCCCTTCTGTCTCTATCCCCTTGTGCCCCCACGGCCACTGCACCCCTTCTGATCCCCCTCCCCGTCCCCAAACCTGCAGAAGGACCTGGGCTCCCTGCAGCAGTGGCTGAAGGCCTACGTGGGTGCCTTCGAGAGGAGCATCTCGCTGTCCTCACTGGAGCCACTCAGGTGAGGCCGGCTCTCACGGAGGGGGAAGGCCGCGGGGTCCGCAGCACCCCAGTGACCCCTCTCCCCGCAGGCCCGAGGAGACC